TGTGGTATATCCACAAGTAAAAATTGTTTCCCTTATTGAGTACTAAGATGGAGTTTAAGTGTACGGTGCATATAAAAAGAAAAGTGTTTCTACAGGTGGCTTGTCAAGCCCACTCACCTTTGTGAAGCACATTCAGTGCTTTTTTTTCTATAAAAATGGAATTATTGTAAGAAAGTCTCTGGCGCAAATGTGCAAACTGGTGCAAGTGTTGGTTAAAATGTCAGAGAAATAAAAGAGTGTTTTCTACAAGTGGTTTGTCAAGCCCACTCACCTGCGTGAGACACACTCAGAATTGCATAGTGTTTTGAGGTTTTTATGTGATGTGAAGGGGAGTAGATGGGGACCTGGTTTTGGGAGATGGCACTGTGGATAATATTTCAGAGATTGGAGTTGAGAGCTCTAACAGATTGTGGGAAGAATTTGTTCAGTAATTTAGCCTTATAAGGGTGCCATTATATCAATGCGACTTGCACATAACATTTCAAGTCCTCTGACGTCATACAAAGGCTTTGTGTGACATTTATTATTCACTGAGCAAAAAATCTGAAATCAATATTTCACTTTTGCAAAATCTGCATGATAATACATCAGTATTTGTATGTTATTTGTTCCAAAAATGCTGGGTTATTTCAACCCAAGTTTGGGTAAAATATGGAGAAGCTGAATCATTATTTAATTTTAGTTTAAAATGTAGTTGAAATTCATTGATGCAACAGCATTTTTAGAATGTACATTTATTTTTATTATTATTATTATTATTAAGCTACTTGTTTGTTATAACTACATTTAATTTAACTAATATTAATTAAATTGAATTTGTAATTATATTGTATTTTTGAGTGCATCTTGAGTGTTGTGCACCCTAGGCTTGAACACAAGTTTCTTCCAGAAATATGCATGCTTAAAATGGTTGTAAAATGTCCGAACAACTCTCCAGCTGGGCCCGCACTTGCTGAAGCATGCACATTTTAGAGACAGTAGTTATTTAAGTTTGCCCATGGTTATGATCCATAACATTAGTCATGGTCTAAAGCCCCTTATGTCTCTGCCCTGTCATCTAAATTAAACAGAATCGCATTGTAGGCAGCAAGGTAAAAAGAAAGCTAGAAATGTCATGAAAGATTTTGTCTGAGTCAAAAATGCATACATTAAATGTGATCTTCCGATGAGTTATATGCCATATGCTGGATTACATAGAGATATAAAGACATCGTCTTGCGTAACAGTGACCTTTGTTAGATTCTTAAATAGAAACCCATTGTGTACTGTACAGTTGTAACCACAGTTAAAATCACAGTGCTGACATTTCCGAGACACAATTTCCCAGACGGAATATCTTTTCCACCATCTGTTACCAAATATATTTAGACCATAATGTGTTGAATGAAAATCTTTCTACAAAAGGTTCTCTGAGTTCAGTAGTTCCACAAAATTAAGCATTTATTTGCTTGCCACTCAATATAATAAAATAAATCCATGAGTGTACTTTCAAACTATGCAAATACTAGGGATGCCACGGTTCTCAATATAATATTGAACCGTACGGAACGACCTCCACGGTTCAATACACACTTGTGAATTGTGGTTTTCTCGGTCTTGCGTTTAAATAATTTCACAAGTTCACACTTAGCTGGTGATTGATTATAAGCAAGTTTGGCATGCTGTCCCGGGAGAGAGCCCTGAGCTCAAAGGTTCTTTTGGAGGGCGACGAGAGGGGAGCCTTGAGCTCAGGTAGATCTCGACAACTCCCCCTTGAAAAAACTGATGACTAAAAATTTAATTCTATGAAAAGATATGCTGCATGGTGAGAGATTAACTGTAGTGCAAAATGTAGATTTATCAATTTACTTGTTGTGCATGTTTTTTGGAATGTGGGAGGAAACCGGAGGACCCGGGGAAAACCCACGCAAGCACGCAAGAACATGCAAACTACACACAGAAACGACCGCCGGCCTGTTAAAGGACTAGAACCGGTGACGTTCTTGCTGTGAGGCGACAGTCCTAATCACTGGGCCACCGTGCTGCCCTATGGAGGGAAGGTGAAGAGGTAGGGGTGGAAGGGGGGATTCTTCAAATGACTGCAGTGAAAAAACCCTGGCTCTTTATAGTGGGTTAGGAATAACCTGATTGGTGGATCATGCATGCTAATGCAGAACCAGCCGTGTTCAATCATAATCACGTGCTCCCCTCGAAATTAGTTTATGAATAAACTTCACTTATGTGCGTTTTATATTCATGAGCTGAGATGAGGAAACTCCTCCCTGCAAGTAAATATCTAATCACTATGCTCTAAAGTTAGGGGGCGATTGACTATCATTCCACACTGTAACATTGCGACCGGCGGTGAAGTGAGGCAACAGTACAAGGAAGTGCCGGCGCAGTGAGGCAACAGTATGAGAAAGCACTGGCGTCTTTCATATCTGCGGTGTGAGGACATTTCGGTTTTGCCAGTAAGTATTATGCCGATAAAAGAAAAAACGATGAACAAAAAATAACTGTGTGCAAGCATTGTTTTACACGTAAAAAAATGACTGCACATCTGCTGCACCATCACCCAGCAATATCACTGTCTGAAGGAAGGATAGCAGAGAAGGTAATAAAATGCTCGAAATAGCAACAATCCCTCGCTGAATCTTTCAAGCAAACATACCCAACTGGTTCTGAGAGACACATAAATAACAAAGGCTGTGCAGGTGTTTATTGCTAAAGATTTGCAGCTGTTTTTGGTGATGGGAGATGTGGGCTTTTGTCATTTTATAAAAGCACTCGATTAGCGTTACAGACTACAGTCTCGCATTTTTTTTAGCACCGAGATAATTAAGATGGTTTATTTATGTCTACTTAAGTACACATTTTATTTTTTTATGGCCAATTTATCTTTATTAACTTAACATGTATGTTTATTTTTAAAGTGTAGGATTTTATGTGTTCCAGTTTGTATATGGGCTACCAGCAGCTGTGAGATTTCAGTGTTTATTTTTTCTTATACAATACACTAGGAACTAGTGTACTTTTCTTGGCTTTTAAGTAAAACAAAATAGTATTGCAATAAATCGTTTTTATTTTTTTTCTCCCAAACCTTTTACTGCTCCTATTGCCTATATATGTATATATATATATGCACGTATACACGTGTCAAGCCATGAGATCCGAACAAAACCGAAAACTGTGTTAAACCAAGGTATGTATTGAACCATGGGCTAACTGTATTGTTGCATCCCTAGCAAATACTAATGTGCCAAGTATTAAACGGTCCTGTCAGAGCCCAGCTTCTGGCATAGAGTATACAATATATTGACCACCTTTGCTATTTGTGATATTTTTTATTCTAAGCCCCAGGTACATTTTTGATCAATACAAGTAACTGCCATGCATTATTATGGTTCATTATCTGTTTTTCCTGTTCTCAGTGGTTTAAATATGTTCTTGAGAGCTGTTGTGAAACACTGCCCCCTGTTCTACAAGCCCCTAAAAGCAAGCTCTGTTAAATAACAAAAGGGCAGTCTGTGGTGTCTGCCTCTTCCTCCATGAAAATGTCAAGAAAATGCTCTCTGGTCCACGCCTCTTCACGCAAGAAGCCCCAAGGGGAGAGAGTCTTTCATTTTTCCACATGAAAGTATTTCTCGTGCGCTTTATGCTTAATGTCATTCAGTGCGGTCATTCTAACCAAGAGATCAATTTTTGCAGGAGACAGACTATTTCATTCATCACATTTCCTTCCTCATGTCAAACGATTTCATACACTTGACTCTTGCAGAGATGAATATTAAAGAAAATCATCCTGTAGGTATGCACAAATCAGCATCTGTAAATGTGAACAGCATCTCCCCTATTTAATCAATGTACTGTAAGTGAGTTAGCACATTTTTACATGCAGTTAATGGACTCATTTTAACAACTGTAGATTAGGCAACTTGGTTTTTGTAAAGGAAGACAAAAACACCATGTCACACAAACACTGATTATTATTATTATTATTATTATTATTATTATTATTATTATTATTATTATCATTGTTAATTAAATGTACTCTAGTAAAAGGGTCTAAAGTGTTAAATAATATAAACTAAAATGTCTCAAGATGTAGTGAGTTAAAATGTGATTATGTAATTGTTAATCAATAAACATCAGTCTTCAGAATCTGTTTTTCCCCCTTCAAAAATCTCTCGGGAAAACTTTGAGTTCACATGAGCTTCATCTCTGTGTTTATAAACAATGTTTACGATCATCTCACATTTATTTACTCTGTATGAAAGTCATGCTGTCCCGTGTAACATGGATTGCATCAAGAATGTTAAGAATTTTAATGGAGAACTATTTTAAAATGCTGCTGTTAAAACCTCACAGGTTATTGTTTTAAGTTACTTTAACATATATTAGAAGGGACAATGACTATTTTTTTGTATATATATATATATATATATATATATATATATATATATATATGCCCAACATATTCAATTGTATGTTTATTACCAGTCATTGTTTAAAAGAAAAAGGTACCATATAATCTGCAATAAAATGCTAAATTATATTTGTTTTAAATATGGGTTTCATTTAAATAATAGAATAAAAAATTGATGATTGAATTCAAATTTAAATTGAAGTAATTAAATTGATTTCATGCACATTATGGTATTTATGTAACCTAATGTATGATGTTTATTTAATCTAATGGATAACTTAATATAATACATACTGTTGTTTAGCAGTATTTGAATTCAAGGTTAATATTTGTTAATATTAATAGTTTGGCAACCTTTTTTTTTTTTTTTTAAGTAAATGTTTTATTAGTTTAATTGGTAAAATACTGATAACTTATTTTTATTTTTACACCCGAAAGTTAATTTATGCTAACTTTGGCGTTGATTTTACAAACATTAAAACAATGGAAAACACCTTCTCAAAAAAGGCAATTGAGTGGCTGCAATCAAGCAGTTGCTTTTTTAAGGAGAAATTACAAAAACATTAAATAGTTTTGTGTAGAACATGCACCTCACCTTCAAGCCATAGGATATTATGAATGAGCTTCTTTTCGTTTATATCCACAACTTCTTGATGCTGAGCATCTTTTCCTCGAGCAGTGTGAAACTGTCCATACTCGTTTAAGCCAGAGCGTTTAGTGTTATCGAACTGTTCACGACGCTATTTATGAAACGCAATTATCTCTCTTGTTGTGGCCAAGTGTATAAGCAGTCAAGAGTTACATTAAAGTTCACACGGCAGTTTTATATAGTTAGATGAAGTGCGTGCTGTGAGCAGAGGAGCGCGTACTGTATGCCAGGCGCAGCGCAGCTCGGATCCAGCAATAACTGAGCGCGTGGCAGGTGGAGGCGGAGTTGACTGATCTCAACACAAGAGCGGTGCTGAATCGCCCAGAGGATCCAGTGACGGATGAACACCAAATAGGCTACAATGCAGAACAAAACACTGCCAGATGCACAGCGACCTTTCTAAACTGTTTGGACAGCCAGAATTTACTTAGACATGCAGTGTGCCATTAGACAATAAAACCAATTGACTAGCACAAACACACTTTTCTATATATGAATGTTTACTGGATTGTAAATGATATAATAATCCCGTTACTTAAAAGGAAAGCAAAAAGTGACACTTAGTGAAACGGTAGTGCAGTAGACATTAAAGGGATAATTCACCCAAAAGGTGAATTAATTCATTAATTTTCCTTTGGTTTAGTACCTTATTTATCAGGGATTGCCACAGCAGAATGAACCACCATTCCAGCATATGTTTTACGCAGATGCCCTTCCAGCCACAACCCAGTACTAGGAAACACCCATACACTCTCACGCACTTATACTCTAAGGCCAATTTAGTTCATCCAATTCACTTACAGCGCATGTCTTTGGGCTGTGGGGGAAACCGGAGCACCCGGAGGAAACCCACGCTAACACAGGGAAAATATGCACTCCACACAGAAATGCCAACTGAGCCAGCTGGCACTCAAACTAGTTACCTTCTACCCATGAGGCAATAGTGCTAAGCACTGAGCCATCATCCATGATTTCAATTTTTTATTTTTTTTTAAGTTGAACATTAGTATTTTGAGTGTCAAAAATTTATACAAGGTGAAACAAAATTAATAGTTCCTTGAGGCTTCTGACTAAACCATGAGGTCTTATGAAGTGAAATGATCGTTCTGTGTAAAAAGAAAATTTTAAACCAGTGTCATTCTGATTTCATACCCCTATATACATCTATATACGTTTCAGGAGATGGCAAAATATGTCTCTGGAGCTTATTTATTTATTTATTTATTTATTTATTCATTTATTTTAATTTTTTTTTTTTTTGCAGTTTTTTGTTTTCGCGAATCCATCGGAGGCCACTCTGTATGCTTTATGAGATCTCAAATTTCTCTCACAAGTGCCAATTCGTGCCTGCTGTTCTAACATAAATCCACCAGAGGCTGCTGTCGACTGACTGACTGACTGACCGACTGACCAACCGATCGTTTTCACCCACCCACTCTTATCCCTAAAACCAACCAATATTGTTTTAAAAAGCTCTAATTGACCTGATCAACCCCTTTCCCAAAGCCAACAGACAGTGTTTTCAAAAGCATCCTGTAAAAAGAAATGCCCTCACAGCTGATTTTTACCACATTTTCAGATCTTACCGTGTTCTCATCCTGTGTATTTCTTTAATTTATTTTTGCTTTCGTTTAATCTGCATTCTGGAACTGTTCATTGCCGTACCTGAACCCCCTGGTCATAGTCGACTCCTCTATGCGTTTCAAGTCCACCGACATACATGGCGAGCAACTGGGCAAAATGGTAAAAGTGAAAAAAAGGCATCCATATGGAGGTAAATGGTCAGCTGGTAGCACAAAAAGAAACAGAAGCCATCGGCAGCCTCATTCTACCCCAAAACGTTTATTTTAAAGACATAAAGAAATGCAGCCATACGTGGCTCTGGCTACATAATTCACGCTCTCCAGAAATGTATATGAGGGTAAGTTTCACATTGAGCCTATGTTGCAAATACATTAATACCTCTATCCTTTAATACAGCCCGAGCATATGTTCCTACGTGCATTTAGGTTTGGAATGCTTGCTTAATTTTGCAAATTGGCATATGCATTCCATTGGTGTAAAAGATTTTTTTTTAAGGATGGATAAGCACTATTTGTACAAGTTTAATACTAAATACAATGAATATGCCCTTTTTCTCTGTAAACAAACCGTCATTTTACTTATATTGTTATAACCACTAAACACATCAAAACATTTGTATATATTATGTAGGTCTACGGTATATTAAAACCATTCATTTGAATCATAGTCAACAAAAATTTTGTTAATCTTCTACTGAAGATCACATTCACCTACAGTATATCTTGGCTGACACAAGGATCTGTTAATTAGAAGCAAATTTAAGTATCTTGGTGTACATTTTGGAAGGAACTACGGTGGTTACATACATTGAGGTAACCATGATATTGGTTCACATTTTGTTGACTGAATCCACTGCAGGAAAAACAAACGAAGAAATAACTACAAACTACATAAAAAATTACTACTATATAAAATAAGCTCTTTAGTTTGTTAGCAGATTGTCCATGAATGCATGCTACATTTTGTGTCCAACACAATGACATTTTTTAAAGTGTTCAGCTTGGATCACTTACGTGTAACTGCACTGCACAATGCAGTAACCTGCAATTCTTCAAAGAGGTATATTTTACCCCATCACTGTACCTTTTGGAGTTCTAAATGAATGTATTTAGGTTGTTTCAATTGCATAACATACTTTTGACAGCATAAAATCAGTCAAATAAGTTGTTACCATTTTAGGCTTCCATTTCCAGTGTAAAAGTAGGCTATAGTTGTCAGGGCATGATTTAATCACTCCAAGGAGAGGATCAAAGTCACGCAATCAAACTTTAATAAACACAATCAGAAGTACTCAAGAGAACAATACCCAAGGCAGGGGAACAGAAATGTGGTCTAAAAGTGTTTGCGTCCTTGCAGACCTTGTAATTATAACTTGAATATTCTGAGAGCTACAGCTTGTACCATACAACTGCTGTACCACTTGACCTCTACAAATTAATTAAACTGCAAATAAATCAAAATCTTTATTTTCCCAATATCACTTACAAATTTCAATTTTGAAATGCTCTTTTTTAGATATAGTGAAAAATTCCCACCCTGCATGCCGACTTCTTTTCAGACTACCAATATGATACCATTATATATATATATATATATATATATATA